GATGGTTGTTTTTTTTCTTCCTATGTCCCAAATCATTGATTTGCATCTCAGCTTCAGTCACTCTACTGTTGTTTCCTTGTAAATTTTTCTTTATTTCAATTAGTGTATCCTTCATTTCTGACTGGAATCCTCACTAAGTTCCTGAGAATTCTTATAACCAGAGTTTTGAACTCTACATCTGATAGATTGCTTATCTCCATTTTGTTTAGTTCCTTTCTGGAACTTTGATTTGTTCTTTCATTTGGACCCCGTTTCTTTGTCTCCTCATTTTGGCAGCCTCTCTGTGCTTGTTTCTATGTATTAGGTAGAACTTCTATGACTTCCTGTCTTGGTAGCATGGCCTAATGTAGTAAGTGTCCCATAGGGTCCAGTGACACAACCTCTCCTATCACCCAAGTTGGGTAGTGGAGGTATACCCTCTGTATGGGCTAAGGACACCCTCTTCTTATAGTTGAGCCTTGGTTATTGTTAGTAGTTCAATAGGAGGTGTTTACCCAGGCCAGTCAGCTGCACAGGCTGGTTGTGACCACTGACCACCAATTTCCACCTCTGTGAAGGATCAGTTTTGCAGAGGCCCATTCCACAGAGCAAGACTTACTTCTACAGGGTTCTGGAGCCCGCTGAGTCCTTTCCTTGAGCATGTTACTTGTAGAGGTGTTTGGGTGGCTGTACTCCAATGTGGTCTGTAGCATCTGCTGGGTGCACAGGCTCTGAGGTTTACTGGGTTGTACAGGCCAATGTCAGCCACAACCTGCATTCTGTCTGGGGCCACTTAGCATACATTATAAAGTGATCTGCAGGTGGCTACTACTTGTGCTGGGCTTGGAAGTACCTAAGCAAGACTAGACTGTGAATATATGCCAGCTCCTGCTAGGGCTGGGCCTGGGACTATTTAGGCAGTGGTATGGGGGCTATTGGCTCACTGAGGCCAGCTGTTGTTTTTTTGAGAGGATTTAGGCAGATGTGAAGTATGAGTCAAAACAAGCTATTCCTATAGAAAAGCCACTGTTAACAGCTTGGGTGGGCCCATAATTTAGGTGGGGTGGTGCCCCAAGGAATCAACAGGATGTGGCAAAGCATGTGAGCCAGGTTCAAGGAGTCTCAGATATGGCACCTGCCAGCAGCCTCTGTGGCTCTGTGGGTGAAGGGTTCAGAAAAGGAACAATGACCTCTGCCTACAGTTCTGTGTATGAGAAACCTGTCCCCCAGCTCTTGCCCTGATGCGAGACACTTCATTTCCTCACCAATGCCTCTGGTACTTTTGAAGCTGCTACCCTAGCCTGGATCTCAGACAGAGTAAATCTGAGTAAGTCCATGTGTGGGGCTTTTAAGAGAAACTGCTTGGGAATCCAGCAGTTTCTTCCACCAACTCAATACCTGCTGGTTATTACAGCCAGAAGTTATGGGGACTTATGTTCCTGTCACTGGAACCCTGCACTGGGGGGATTGGTGTGGGCTTGGGACCCCTTGATCTTGAGATAGCCCTCTCAATTTTTATCCACCACACATGGGTGTGGGACCAGCCTGTTCTGCATTTACATGTCTCAGCATCTCTGCCCCTTCTACCATTCTGGATGGATGTGGTTTCTTTAATTCTATAGTTGTTGGACTTTCATTCAACTTGATTTCTGATGGTTCTAAATCTTGATTGTTCTATAGTTTACTTATAATTTTGATTGACTAGTTATTTTTAATGATTTCTATTTTTGTGTAAGTTCTCACTGAGAACATATATTCTTCCTCCAAGTTTATTGAGCATTCTTATAATCAGTGTTTTGTACTCTGTATCTGGTAGATTGCCTTCATTTTGTTTAGTTCTTTTTGTGGAGTTTTTTCCTGTTATTTCATTTGGGGAATGTTTGCTGGTATCCTTCTTTTGGCTATGTCCCTGTATTTTTTTTTCTATGTGTGAGGTAGATCTGAAAAGTCTACCAGTTTTGGCAGGGTGATGTTATGTAGTAGGTGTCCTGTGGGGTACAGTGGTACAGTCTCCCTTGTCACCTGAGCCAGGTTCTTCAGAGTTTTGCTCTGTGTGGGTTGTTTGTTTTTTCCTGTTGTAGCCTTGACTGCTGTTTAAACATCAGTGGGTTAGAATGGCCCTCAGGCTAACTGGTTGTGAAAACTTGTGGTAACTACTGTGGGTGTACGAGCTGTTGTGTTGGCAATGACCCCACAGAAATTGATTCACTGTAGTGAGGATCTGGTGCCTGCTGACCTTACCCTTTGGCTGTGTCATTTGTGAAAGTGGTTAGGTGGTGCTCTGGTGTTGTCTGAAATCAGCTACTTTGTGTGTGGGTCTTGGGCCTCTTGGGAAGGGCTTTGGTACAGCCCTAGACCAACTGATGCCTATGTCCTTCCTAATGTCTCTTGGTAGGGGCTACCAATTGATCTGTAGATGATTGTCAACTGTTTTGGGCTTGGAGGCACCTGAGAGGGGCTATGCTTCAAGTCAAGGTTGGCTGCCACTTGTGCCATGCTGGGAGTTGCTTAGCAAGAAGTATAGGGCACACTGATGTTAGTTAGCTGCTGATTGCAGCTTTTGAGTCTTTCTGGGATTTTAGGGAAGTCTGCAGTACAGGCAGATACCAGTCACTTCTGAGGAACAGCTGCTGAAAGATGTTCAGACCTGTCTGTTAGTTGGGTGCTTCAGGCTGTTGGGAAATCACTGGAGCAGGACAAGTGCATTAGCCAGTTTGATGGAGACACACATTTGGTACCCTCCTGTACTTTCAAGCTGGATGTTGGAAGGGTTCAGCAAAGAAACAATGACTCCTTCCTGCTGGGTGTGTGGGGGGTGTGATCAACAAGGGACAATGGTGCCTGCCAGCATTTGGCCAGAGCTGACCCTCCAGCCTTCGTCCTAAAGCTGAAAAATTCAATTCCTTCTGATATTTTTACAAGCTGCTGCCAAGTACAGGAGCTCAGAGTAAGTGAGTCATTAGTATGTCTCACAGGGCATTTTCATAGGTCTCTTGGATGCCTCTCCTCTCAAATGCTGGGGATCTGTCATTTACCTTGTTTTGGGTGATACACTATCAGGATGGCCACCTATGCCTTTATCTTTCCTCCTGGCTGGTCCATTTCCACTCAGACTCTCTATGCTGGGATTCTACTTCCTTTCCACATGCCCCTCTTATCAAAGTTCTTTTAATGTACTATGTCTGGTTCATAAAGAGTATGTTTATTTGAGTCATCAATTCTCATGCAATTTCTTCCCAAATGGCAGCCAATACTTTATTTCTATAAGTTACTCAACAACATCTCTCTCCTTGGGTTTTTCAGGTATAAATTGGATACATGTTCAGTGCATCCACAAGCTGTAGGGGACATACATCAAACTCTCTCACTGAAAACACTCTTACCATTTTTGAAGTGAGGTGCAGGCACCCATCAGGTTAGGAGGTGACTAATAGCAGAACAGCTCTTTCCAAAGAAATTCTCTTCCCCCTTATCTTCAAGTCCTAACTTTTTTATGTCTTCAGTTTTCATGAGAGAAGTTTAAGAGTCTTCTACCAGTTTTTAGAGCCGTCTTTGAAAATTCTGGATACGGAAATTTTGCTCAAGAAGTTTGATTATACCCATTATACCCTGTAAGTATTGTGAAGGACATGATGACATCTGTGGAGGACAAGCAGATGTGATTTCAGCTGTGGGTGGTGAGGGAAGGGGTATGATTAATGGAGAGATTTGCTAGATTAGCTGCCTCTCCTTCTCTAAAACTGAGATTCTGTACCCTGTCTCAATATATGACTTTAGGCAAATTGTTTCAACTCTTTAATTCTCAGTTTTTTAAAAATCTGTGAAATGCTTTACCATTTCAGTAGGGAGCTCTGAAACAAAATGAAATAATGGATGAATAATGTGTTCTGCAAATGAAGCAACAAGTTTGTCTCTTCATGGTCCAGAACCATTGTTTATTTCCCTGATTCTGGTCAAGTTATTGTTTTTCACACCTGACTGGTGTAATTTACCCTAAAGTGTAGAGCTATGGGAGTAACAGAGGACCTGAGAGTGACCTGGGAGAGCAAAAACTTCCCCAGGGAGCTGAAGAAGAGAGGGATGCTGGTCCCAGCCACAACCCCTGGACCTTGGCTCTGAGCCTGCACCTGAGCCAGCCAAACTCCAACCTTGTCTGTATGGTCGACAAGCATGTAGATCAGGAAACTGCCACCAAACACCTTGGGGAAAGCTGTTGGGACCCAGTAAGGGCTCAAATGCCCACTGTTCTCAGCAAAGGTGATATCCAAACTCTCTAGCCTTTGTGATAATACCAGGTAAGATGAGTCAGGGACAGTAAATATTGGCACGTGACCCAGGAAACTATGGAGTGGAGGTGAAAGAGGGGCTTTTAGGATGAGCAAAGGACAGCTGTACCAGTCACTGATGTTTATCTCTGTTTCCACCTTTAAGAGCCATTGAGTGGAGAAGGAATCATATTTGTAATGCATGGCCTCAAGAGGGAAACTCGTATCAGAGAAGGATGGTAGAGGCAGTTTTCAAATCATAATATTAAAGGAGAACCTTGTGCTCAGAATCTTGCAAAAATGGAATGAAAGCTTTGGGACCCAGTGAGGAACCTGTCACTGGTAGTGTAACCACTGGCAAGTCACTTGGTAGGGTTGTTATAAAGCACAAGATAAGATAGAACTCCATGGTGAGTTTCTTTCTAACATGACATTCTTGGATTCTAGGAAACTCTCTTTGGCTAAACAACATAGAATTATTCTGAGTCCCAGAGTCCCAGTTTCCCCAGAACCATCAGGAAGAGTAGAGTGCCTGACACTGAGCCAGCCCCCTTCAGGGAATATGGCCAACCCCAGGATCCATCACCCAAAAGCTTCTTAATCCCTACTCTGTTTCTGACCCAACAGAGAATAGGACTCTATTCTTATTCCCATTACTGTGGATGATGCTAGCAAAGGCTCTCTGCTCCTTGGGCTTCTTGGGAAGCTGGGAGATCAGCTCACTGAAGAGGTTTCCAGCAAAAGCAGAGAAGTGAGTGGTGCCCACACAACCTTAGTGACTAGGTTGGGACTTTATTTTTTTTATTGTGCTTTGACATATTTTCAGAATCATAAGTAAATGATTTATACCTTTTGTCACATTTAAAACATTTGTTAACACAAAATTATCTATTCTTAATGAAAAAAACATTTTTTAAATCCTCATCTGAGGATATGTTCATTGATTTTAGGTAGAGAGAAGGGAGAGAGATAGAGACATTGATGTGAGAGGAAAACATCTATCAGTTGTCTCCCGTATATAACCTGTCGAGAATAAAACCTGCACCCTAGGCATATGCCCTGACTGGGAATCAAATCCACAACTCTTTGGTGCATGTGACAATGTTCCAACCAACTGAACTACCTGTCCAGGGCAAATTATCTGGTCTTTAAAGATTTAAGAAATCCACCAGAAACAGCATTTGTCTCTTACAACCTTGAAGAAGAAAATACCTATATGTTTTACATTTTCTATGTCGATTTTTTGAGGTTGTACGGACATGTAAATCAATTTCAGCAATACATATTTTTTCTAGAAATTATCTATTTCATGAAGAATTTTACATTGAATAGATTTTGATTACATATTACATTCTCTTAGAGATTTTTCTCATTTTATTATTGTTTTGCTATATCCAACATAAGAAGAACTTGCTGAAAGCTAAGTGATAAATTAGATGAAGTTTCCAGTCACCTTCCTGGAAAGTCACCTTGCTGGGTCAGACCTTCCTGTAAGCCCCACACATCAGACCCTATAGCAGCCCCATCAGTGGGGGTGGGGAGGATACTGCCTATCCATTCTAATTTCCCCTATTCAGACAGTAAGAGAGCTGGGGCTGTTTCCAGAGGAGGACTACCCCCAACTTTGGCTTCTCTAGGTTTTTCTCTTGGAAACAGAAATCTGGGAGGGGCTTGAGGTAATATAAATTCCATTCCCCACTCCACAGGAGTTTCTTGAGGGTTTGGAGTCCATGGGCTGAGACTGCAGTCGAGGTCCAAGTTATCCCAGGTGGCCAGGAAAGAGGGCCGTGGTCCAAGTGTACAATGACCTCTAGACACTCCCCCCACCATACACACATGCACATAATGAATGCATGACACCCCAATGGAGCCCTACAAGAGAAGCCTTGGGCTAATTTCTTTGTGAGCTCCCTCTTACCCATGATGTCTCCATCTATCTTCATTCTGCATCCAGCACCCAGGTCCCAAAACACTCCTCTTGGCACAGTCAACACTTCAACATAGTCCCCATGACTGGGCTTGTGTTCTCAGAAAGACACATAGCAGTGACACAGCAGAAAACATGGATATTGTTAACATGTGTACAGTCAGGGGATCCTCTCTGGGAAATTTCAGGAGGAGAGGGGCCAGGAGCTGAGTCAATGACAGAAGAAGAGTGTTCATCCAGCAGGAATGAAGACTCTGAATGGAAGTGCTGTTTGGGGAGGTGTCAGAGGAAGTGACAGGGCCATGTGTGACCAGGGTGCTAAAGGTGCAAGGGACAGAATAACACAGCCCAGAGGCAGCTGGAACTGGACCAAAGCTGGAAGATGCAGGTTTCTGTAGGTATCATGCCCAGAACAGAGGTGTTTGAGGTGGGCTGAATTTTCCTGCCTCTTCCCATCTTCAAGGCCTGGCCTGGCCTGGCTTATGGACCTCATCATAGATGCTATTGAGAAGCTCCTTTTCTTCCAGATGTTGTTCACTAATACCCTAGAAATATAAAAACATTGTTTCTGGAGCATCTGAGGGACAGAGGGGCTCTAGACGGACCTGCATGGAACCAATGCTGATTATGTGCACTGCATATGAATTTCCTGAAAATACCCAGCACTACACTAGCCCCAATTTAAATTTTCTTAGTGTTGCCTGTTCAGTAAGAGTTAAAGAGCTAGAAGGGCTAAGAATGACATAACTGTGTTTGGCAAGCCTAGCTGAGGCATGGAGGAACCTGGGAGAATCCAGGCTTGCTACAGCTTCCAGATCTCACCTTGTCCCTGCCCTCCTGAGATTCTTGTTCTGTCAGCTCTGCATAGTAGATGTCATCATTATGGTCTTGATGGTGCTCCTCCAATCCTGCACCTGAGTCATACACAAAATGTAGCTTGAATCTAAGCCTTATAAACCTGTACCCTCTCTACTGCTGTAAATTTCAAGGCCATGACCATTGCCACTACCCCTCTGTAGGGACATTCCCTGAGCACTAAAATGCAGAAAACAAACCAAGAGTAAAGTGGAGGAGGAAAGGTGTATGGGCCTGGAAGGAGAAGTGCAACCTGCCTCTTCTGGTCTCCATCTTCTCCTTCTTCTTCCCACAAGTCATCAAGAAGTACAGTCCAGCTCCCACAGTCAACAGTACAGGCACGACTGCACGTGCAATGCCTCGCAGGGGGCCAACAGCAGTCTGTCCATGCGAATCTGCTTCCCTCACAGAAAGAAAGTGAAGAAGTTTAGGACAAGAAAGAACTTGAGATACTCACTGCCAAGGGGATATAGAGAGCAGGTAGGGAAGTCTGAGGGCTCCTGGGTCAGAAGAAGAAGAGGAAGAATGTTCATTCATTCAGTCAGTTCCTAAGTTCCTCTATGGTGTCAGGAACATAGGGATGAACAAGAAATGGTTTTCACTCTTGAGGAGCTCATCAGCCAGAAGAGAAGACAGAAAAAATACCAAAGTCTGCCAGATAAAGGGTTGACACTCCAATAGAGGTTTATACCTTTTATGCAGGTTTTCAATGGGGTCTCCTAGAGGAGGTGATGGGTAAACTGAGTCTGGAGGGAGTCTTATGAATTTCCCATATACTGGGGATGGATGCAGTGTTGCAGGAAGAAGAAGCACCACATTTAGGGAATAATCCTATAAAAAGCCAGCCTCTGGGAGTGCCAGCACCCCACTGTTGCAGGAGGAGAGGAATGGGGCAGGGAGTAGCTGTGGGAAAGGTGGATCAGATGGGTCTTGTGGGTCATGCTCAGTGTTGAAACTGATCTGAGACATGAAATTGTGGTATGAGGAGAGGGTAATAGGGATCTTATGTGTTATTGACACACCAGATGCCTCGTCAGCTTGTGGAGGATTAGTTAGAGAGGTGAAGATACACACAGGGGTACCAGGGCCTTCTTTCATTCAGTAAAATACTGATTGTGAGCAAACTTTCCCAGAAGCTCTGCTTGGCATAGAGATTCAAAACAGGACAAAACATGATCCCTGCTTTCAAGTCATTCCCCAGATGGAGGAGACAAATCTATAAACAGCATTGCTCCCTAGGGTGAGTGGTCATGAACTGCTCCTTAGAGGAGAAGGTGCCTGAGAGCAGGACAGCTGCAGCACCTGCGAGGCCCTGTGCAAAACCAGAATGAAGAGCCCTTTGTTCAACTTTACTGATAGCAGCTTTAAACCAAAAATGGGGCCCTGTATGGACTGACTTATCACATACCCATAATACCAGCCATATTGATGAAAATCCTTCAATAGGAGTAAGGAAGAAAAAAATAATCTGGACTTTGTGGAAATGATGGTAGAGGAAACAGCATAATCAGAAGCTCAAAAACTTGAAAAGCAGAACACACTCAAGAATTCTAAACAGGCCATTTGGTGTAAGTGAGTATGTAAGTGAGGCCAGAAATATGGGCAGAGGAATGTCTGAGCCCTGACTCCTCCAGGGAATCACCGGAGATCAAATCCTAAAATGACACAGGAAAAAGACACAATCTAATTTCTTTTTTCTGAAGACCACTTTGCACACACTCTAGATGGTGGATGGGGGTGGGATGGATGGCTACTTCCTGGATCAGCAGAGGCTACAAAGGTAGAGAGGAGGGCATGGCTGTGAGAGACACTAAAAAGCAGAAGCAAATTGTATGTGACTCTCGACTTCTATATGAGGTGACCAGGTGGATGGTGGTGCTAATTAATATGGAGGGGAGAAATCACAGAACCCTAAGTCTGCAGTGCTACCTGAGCTCTGAAAAGTGTCCTTTCCCTCAGGCATATTATACTCACGATGGTCACAGACTTCTCCAAGGTTTGTGGTGGCATTTTTTTGGTCCACGGGGTTGCTGACTACACAGGCGAGGCTGATGTTGGTCTGGGTCAGGGGCAGTTTCATAGGCAGGGACCAGGAGATGAGGGCTGGTTCCAGTGTGCTTGTCTCATCCAGCTCCCTGGGTGGGCCACTGCTTCTCCAGGTCACATTCAGGTCCTGTGTGGCTCTTATGGGTGTGCACTCCAGGGTGATGTTGCACCAGTCTGATGTGATAGATTGTGACTTGACTAGGATCTGGGGAAGGGGCACAGGTTCTGGGGTGGGGCATGGAGAGAATAAAGCATCATATGTTTGGAACCCCTTGCAGTCACACATTCTCATCCATTATTTCATTGAGCTCTGGCATCCTCCCTCTAAGAGAGATGAAATCATTTTACAGATGAAATATGATTCATAAAAATATATGGTAAGTGATAACAAGGAAGGAAACCACTGAATCAAGCCCTATGTGATTTCACTAGACAGAGAACGTCTTAGAAACCTCCCTGAAGAAATAAAGCCCTGATCCCACCTACCCAAGCCAAGTATTCCTAAGAAATTGGGGTCTTTCCTGGAAGGTGAAGAATTCTGGGAGGGAAGAACTTGTCCTGGCACAGGGACCATGCTCAGCTTCTCCTGCAGAGGTGATACCCAGGACTGCACAGCCCACAGTGGAGAGGACATCTGGCCAGCTCTGGGAGTCCAGAGAAAGGCCCAATGCTCTCAAAAACAGACACATCTGTGGAAAATGCAGTGATAACTACTGGGAAGGACAGCTGCAAGTGAGGTTAGAACATGCTACTGAACTTGAGGTCCACACAGAGGTGACAGACTGATAAGTGGGTATTAGATAGCATTTGGGGACCTAAAGTTGCAAAAGCCTCTATCTGTAGTACATACTTCACTATGCAGAGAGGAATTTTAGGGAAAGAAAGAATTGGCTAAATGAGTATAAGAAGTGTTTCAGTGTAAACTCCTATATCTATGGAGACTTTTGGAGCTGGATTTGTGGACTCTTTGTGAGTAAGGCTGCTTCATGCAGATGCTGAGTGAGAGCTGATAGGACAGAGAGGACTATCTATATGTTGTTTCCAAATTGTGGTAGGTGGAACAGTGGCCCCAAAAGTGTCTACATCCTAATTCTCAAAACTTGTGAATATGTTAGATTATGTGGTAAAGGAGAATTAAGATAATAGAATTAACACTGCTAATCTACTTATTGTAAATTAAAATAAGGATATTATTGAGTATTATCTGGATGGGACTAATGTAATTACAAGGGTCTTTAAAAGTGAAAAAAGGGAGGAGTTCAGAGTGATGTAATATGAGGACTGGACCCACCATTGATGGTTTATAAGGTGGAGGAAGGTGGCCAGGGTCCGAGGAATGCAGGCAGCCACTAGAAGTTGGAAAAGGCAAGCACATGTTCTCCCCTACAGCCTCCATAAAGGACTGCAGCTCTGCCAACAGCCAACACCTTGACTTTGGCTCAGTGAGACCCACCTCTGACATCTGATCTACAGCACAGTCAGATGATAAACTGGTGTGGATGTAAGCCACTAAGTTTGCAGTAATTTGTTATAGCAGCTATATAAAATTAATACAGAAATTAAGTATTATAACCTTATTCCTATAAAGGGTAATAAATGTGGCAATAATTCCAATTCCCCAAGTTCTGTGTTCCTCTCTTCACATACTGACATGATTTTATCCCAGGTGTGATTTTATCTCAGCTTTGATCTCTATTCATGGTGAACACACTTACCTTAATTTCAAGGTAGCAAATAGAGACTGAAATTAGGACCTATGTGACACTCCTAGTGCCAATAAAAGAGGTGGCCATAGGATGGGTTGAGGACATACCATAGACAGTGAGGTAGAAAACCTGGCTAAATTCTTTTCCTCCAGGAAATCTGACTCGAGCCCGGTACTGCCCACTGTCATCATGGGTCAGGTTCTCGATCCTTAGGGACGTCCTGTTAAGTATATGTGCCCTCTGCATATACTTGTCTTGGAGGCTAAGCCAATTTGGTTTGTTAACTTGCCCTTTGACTTCCAGCATAACTCTGTAGTTTGATTCAGGCCCAATGCTCCATGAGATCTCTTCCAGCTTAGTTCCTGGCTCCTGAATCACATTGAACAACACAGACTCTCCTTGGATCCTTGTCAGAAAAACAGGGGCTCTAGAATCCTTAATTTCAGATACATGTGTTTCAGAACTCATGGCCCCAGGGCTGTAGATACCTAGGTAATTAGAAAGAGGAAACATGAGTTTTGTTTTGTTTTTTTTTTTTGTCATCAAGAATAAAAGAGAGAACCATGGAACCCATCTTTTTAGGAAAATCCACACAATATTCTTTCTTGATTCTTAGAAGGCAGGATTGTACTGTGAATTTGAATGTTTCTGAAATCAGCTTCTGGTTCTAGTGGAGTGTAGCCTTGAACAGATAACAGATTACCTGCAGGTTCCTTATAATAATAGTATTATTTAAATGAGATCATGAATGAGGCCGTTTCTAAAGTGGTTCCATAGATTCCGCCCTCCCTTGTGTTCACATCCTTGTGTAACCCCCTCCCCTAGAGTGTGTGCTGCACTTAGTGACTTGCTTCTAAGGAATAGAAAATATCAAAAGTGATGGGATGTCGCCTAGAGATATTAGCTTATATAAGACTAATTTCTGTCTCACTTGTACTCATTCTCTTTCACCCTCCTCTTGCTTACACTGATGAAGCCCCTGCCATGTTGTTAGCTGCCCTATGAAGAGGACCACATGGCAAGGAACTGAGGGCAGACTGATCAACTGCAAGGGAGGAATAAAGGCCCTCAGGGCAACAGCCAGGTGAACTGCATACCATCAGCAATCACACAGGTAAGCTTGGAAGCAGATCCTTCCCAGTTGCCCCTGGAACTGATTGCAGCCCCAGCCAAGGTCTTGATTTCAGTTGGAGAGACTCTGAGCCAGAGGAGCCAGCTTAACCATCCCTGGATTCTGATTCATAGAAACGATGAGACTATATGTGGTGTTATTTTAAGGCACTAAGTTTTAGGGTAGCAGGTTACACAGCAATGGAAAACTAATACAATAATAAAGGTTGCTCTCTTTCCCTCTCCTTCTAGTCAGTATAATAGTCAGGAGTTACTAGAATGTGTCATGGTCACAATTCCAATACCTCAGGTCTTAGAACAAGGGGAGTTTATATATCCCATACCATATGTCCCATAAGAGAGTGAGGGAGGGGTCCTGGCACATATGGTGGAGGCTCTACAACCTTGTAGCTAGCTGCACCCCATAGAACCCGCAGTGTTCTCACCAGCTCTCAGCTCCACAGAGGGAAGGGAAACAGAGAACCATGCACGGAGTTATCACTTCTTAGCCCAGAGATAGTGTGATCTCGGCTCATGGTTTTTGGCCAGCATTAGCAACAAGGCCCTGGATAACTGCCAAAAAGTAGAACACGTCAGGGAGCATATGATCATTTGGTGAGCTTTGCTGTCCCTCCCACCAAGACAGCACTTCTTTAGCCAGTCCATTAAAGGACATGGTTGGCCTCCCTCCCCAAGGTACTGATACCCTTCATCTTTCCTTATACCAGGGAAAGTGCCACAGAACAACCTAACCCTCAAAGGATGAACAATATGCTCTTTTTGGCTGGGTCAGGATCAGCTTGACTGGCTGCTGCCCTCCAGGGACACAGTTCTCTCTCCAAATTAGTAAGTTCTTGTATTGGGCCTGCTTCCCTCCTGCTGCACTTATACCCATTCCTGGGTCTCACTGGAAGCAGAGGATAGCTCTTACCAGTATTAATATGTAGAAGTATTTCAGGTATTCCTCTGTATTCATTTATTTAGTAGCCTGATCAGGTATGTCCTCCAGTTGAGGCCTTCACCTCAGTCTCTTCAGCTACCCTCAAAGGACTAGTGCTCCTCATACTGAAAATGTGAGGGAGCTCCAATGCCACAGGCATTTAGGACCTGTATCAGTGGGGGCAATGGTCAGTGCAAGTTCTGTTCCTGCCTCGGGCCTTCCAGGAGAGTTACAGGTATTTACTGATCAGCCCCTTCCTTCCACACCTCATGCCCCTCTGAAACCTCAGTTCAGGAAGAAGTCTGGGGCAGACACCACACTGTCCTGCAGAGCATATGCCCTGGGGTGCAGGAAGAAATCACCTACATAGCCCACAGAAGGTCTGTGGAGAAGAGCTGGATAAGATTGTGCTACTGGGTCCCTCTGAACAAGCTAGGACATAATGCCATGGTCTAGCAGGTCTCCAGGACACAATGCTCTATCCCTCTCTCAGCAGAACCCAATTGGCCAACAAGTAGATTTTGAACTTCTCAGCCTCCAGGCTGTGATACAATAAATTTCTGTTGTTTAAGCCACCAAGTCAGCAGTATCTTGTTATGGCAGCCTTACAATCCCTACATGTTGACCCTTATGAGGGCTTCCTGGGAGCCAGGGCTGAGCTCTTGGCCAGAAAAATCACTAAGGTGTGAGTTCTGGAGTGAGACAAACCTGGGTTCAAGTCACTCTCTCCTGGCTGAATAATATTCAGCAAGTTCCTAAACTCTTTAAGCCTTGAATTCTAACATGGGAACACTGGGGATGAGAACTGTAGGTACTTATGGGACTTCTGCAAGGGTGAAATAAAATGATCCATAAAAAGCACTCAGCAGTGTTTAGTTGTTATTATAATTACTATAGTTGAGTCTACCTGTTATGGAATATCCACAATTAGTTGGATTTTAATGTTTTCACTGCCTGGGGACAAGAGGTAGTCCATCCCCACATGAACATGATTTCCACTCCCTGCATTTCAGCAACTCTGTCAGATACCAAGTACCTAATGATCCCCAGGACAACCCATCAAAGCCCAGTTTCCTTACCCACAGGCAGGCACTATTTTTAGTTTCTTGTGTAATTATTCTCCCTCTCTTTTTCCCTCCCTTCCCTTCTCTCTAAAAAATAAATAAAATCTAAAAAAGGTATTCTTTTTTTAATTTTTAAATTTTTAAAAAGATTTCATTTATCTATTTTTAGAGAGGGAATGGAGGGAGAAAAAGAGAGAGAGAGAAACATCAATGTGCGGTTGCTGGGGGTCATGGCCTGCAACCCAGGCATGTACCCTGACCGGGAATCAAACCTGCGACACTTTGGTTCGCAGCCTGCGCTCTATCTACTTAGCTTATGCCAGCCAGGGCTCAAAAAGGTATTCTTTTAAAAAAATATTTTATTTATTAATTTTTAGGCAGACAGAGGAAGAGAGGAAGAGATGCATCAATGTGTGGTTTCCTCTCATGCACCCCCTTACTGGGGACCTGGCCCACAACCCAACATGTGCCCTGACTGGGAGTTGAACTGGCAACCCTTTGGTTTGCAGGCTAGTGCTCAATCCACTGAGCCACACCAGCCAGGGCTGACAATTATTCTTGACCTAGTGTACCTGGGCTCAGAACAAATATTCCAAGTTCCCAGGGTGGAACCCTTTCCTCTCCAATGGCTGGCCTTCTCAGGGGTCTCCTCCTAGGTAGAGGGATGGGCTCCAGGGAGTCAACCCACTGTGGATGCAATAACATAGGTGGCTGTAAGAAGTCGAAGTCCAGTCTGGGCTTTCCTGTTTACCAGAGCCTTGAGAATGAATGAAAATTTATTGCTGTGTCAACAGCAACTGCTTCTTCATTCACTATATGTGCCCAAGTACCTGGGCACATCTGTGTTCCCAGGGAGAGTGGTAAAGCTAGAGGGAAGGACAGGTGCTTGCTATGCTCATCTTGAGATGGAAAAAAATGTATTGTCAATTCTATTTGGGGTGAGCAATGTATTTCATGTTAATGAAAAACAATCATGTAGGTTATGAAGTTGTCCCACATAAAAGTCTGGAGAGTGACTACTTCTGTTAATGATATATATCCTTCCAGACTTTACCTATGTAGCCACAAATACTATAAGCCTAGGTAAACATAGGACTTTTATTTGTGAATTCATTGCAGCATTTGTGATGGTCTATAAAGGTGTGGACTTTGATTCTTACTTTGAACTGGTTGTAACATCCTACTGGTTCTGACACTGATTAATGGGCAAAATAAAAGTATTTTTAAGACCTCTAGTCATCATCACAATGAACACAGTCAATACTAATCTAATGTTGAAATAAGCAATTTCAGTGAAAAAAGAACATCAACCAGTTAATCAAAGAAACAGTCCTTTGTTCCAAAGGGGAAAATGTGCATTTAGACTGGCCAAAAGGCAATATTTCAGTCTCCAATGTGGCACCTTCCTAAGATAATTTTACCAGTAAATCTGACCAAACAATGTCTTATTTCTCCCAAGTGCTCATAAGAAGGTGAGCACCTGTGCAACAGAGAAAGGAGCTGGTAAACAGATAGGAACTGAAAAGGTCTGGCCAAGGCTACTAGCTACTTCTAAATGGCACAGCTCTATCACACTTTACTTTGTGTGGTTTGCAGAACATGTTGCCACACACTGTGGGAAAGGAGATGATGTCCTTCAGCAGATGATCTGAGGACACACTGGGACACACTGGGCTAAAACCCCTCTCAGGAGAAGAATCAGAGAAAACAAGATGAGGTGGAGGAATCTTAAAGAGGGATTACCTCTATACTTGAAGGTCTGAGGAAGTGACCACAGAGCTGGCCAGGGGCCTTCTCTTTGAAGGTGCCCCAAACAGGTCACCACCTATCAGTGCCAGGACACAGGAATAGAACAAGACAGAATGAAGAGACAGAGAGGAGGTCTTTGAAGAAGCCACAGAGAGTCCTATGTGGGGGGAGATACCAAATCCCAGAATGTCACTGTTGGAGGACCTTAGAGGGGATCTGCCCAGGCCCCTCTTTCTCAGAGCAGGAGGTTTCCTGTTGGGTGACCTTATTTAGGATCACTTAGGACAGAGCCAGACCAGAACCCTTGGTGTCCTCTCTCCCAGCCCAGTGCCTCCCTCCTGCAGGAAGCTGCCCATCAACTCTTCCCCCTTTTCCTCACCTTCCCCAGGAATTCCTCCTTCCTAATATTGTTGTCTGACCATCATAATCTTAGCAGTTTCTTGTCATTCATTCATTCATTCATTGTTAGATGAGGGAAAGGGAGGGAGAAAGAGAGGGGGAGAAGCATCAATATGTGGTTGCCTCTTGTGTGCCCCCTACTGGGGACCTGGCCTGCAACCCAGGCCTGTGCTCTCACTGGGAATTGAACTGGCAACCCTTTGGTTTGCAGGTCATTGCTCAATCCACTGAGCCCCATCAGCCAGGGCCTGAGCCACACCAACCAGGGCAGCAGTTTCTTGAGTCTCATTCCCCAGCTTCTTTCTGGGAAAGGGAAAGCAAGTACTTACAGGGTTTAGGAGGGCAGAAACCTCTGACCACCTGAGAGTTAAACAGCAGCCCAGCCAGACTCCCCAATTCCTGGAAAGGAGGGAATGAGGGAGAGAGGAGGCTCAGCTCTCAGGCTACAGAGGAACCAGAAACCAGCTGTGAAGAAGGTGAAAGAAAGGAAGAGGAAGAAGGCAGCAAGAGTGCTTTAACCTACAAAAGATGTAATTCTGAAGAAGAAAATAAGGCCAGGGGAGGGTATGGTTAAAAACAAGATATAGTAAAACTTATTTAGATAATATAAAACTTAAAAACTGAAAAACCAACATAAAATTTGTCCATTCATTTCTCTTTCTCTTAATCTTTTAACCCCAGGAACTATGTAGAAAACTCTATATAATTTAAATATTTCTTCAGTTAAATAAAATGAAGACAGCCCTGACTAATGTGGTTCAGTTGGTTGGCCATTGTCTCACAAAGCAAAAAGTCACTGATTAGTTTCCTGGTCAGGGCACATTGCCTGGGTTGCAGGTAAAGTCCCACTTGGGGTATGTACAAGAGACAACTGATCAACATTTCTCTCTCAGATCAATGTTCCTCTCCCTCTTTTTCTCTCTCCTTTTTCTTCTCTCAAATAAATAAATAAAATATATATTAAAAAATGAAGACAAAAAAGCTTACATTTTACTGTTGACAGAAATTAATGCCTTGCAAAGCTTGTGGTCATATCAAGACACCCTGTTTACAAATGCTGTCTTACCCATTAAATTTCATGTACTTCCTTGTGAAACAAAGTCTTCCAAGCTTTCACCTGAATTTATAAGTCACTAAGTCTTATTTTTTCTCGTTAGTTTTTATTTCATTTTGTTATATGTGAACATATAATCTTCAATAGTCATAAATGTGATATACATCAGGACAGACTTTTTTCAGTTTGTTTTTTGCTTAACCTACTATCCTCCCTACTCTCTCTCCCTCTTGGCTCCCCAAGTTTACTCCTTCTGGAGCCCATGTCAACAGTCTGCTGTTTCCTTCCATAGTTTCTCCATACTATTACAACATGTGAATATATAGATATCCTTAAATTTTGGAGTTGGCTGCTTTACAAAATTATAATTTTATTGTATTCAGTGTCCTGTGTCATGCTCAAGAAGTCCCCACTAGAGTTGCTTCTTCCAGTTCAGATACAAGGTTTTAGGATGGTGTCTCCTCCACAGGACAGCTGTAGAGGCTGTCAAGTTGCCAGGAGAGCATCCCTGTGATTGCAGCAGAAACAGCTACACCTTCCCAGGGATGGCTTTCTTAATGCAGCCAAGATTGCCTCAGCTCAGGGTTCCCAGCCTTGCCATGACCAAAAGGCCACATTGTTCTTCTATTCACTCTACGGCACTAAATCAAATGTATTTACAAAATCTTAACAGAGTGGTTTATTCTTTTTGTTCTCCACAGACATCAGACAGGGAAAAAATACCCTGCCTCCCTGTTCCACCCAAGGGTCCTCCTTCCCAGGTAACCCAGCCTCTTACCGAGGAGAATGCTGGTGAATCCCAGGACACAAAAGAACCATAAGGGGTGGGTGTCTTCTGAGCAGGTCTGCATCACAGGCTGCCTGTAAGCCTGTCAGCTGCAGAGGAAATATTAGAGTAGTTGAGGCAAGGGAAGAAAAGCTTCACTCAGATGAGCATTAAGCTCTTTCCTGCCTCAAAGGTGGGCTAACATTTAGTTCTGCATGACAGCTCACCAGTTAGATTAAGTCATTCAGATCTTTTAATCTTCTCCCCTGTACCTACAGTAGACCCTCAGTAAATAATTGCAGAACAAAGTTATAAACAATCTCCCTCTCTGATACATCTGGCACTGTATTGGACAGGCTCTGTCTCTGTGGTCATACCAGCATGATGATCTCACACTCCCTACCTATATAGCCACTTGAGACTCTTCCCAACTTACCTGGATTTACATCTGTGCACCAGACAGCCTGTTCAACAATGCCAGCCTATGGTCAGCTCAGAAGTTATGTTATTTATAGTCAGGGTGGTTTAGGCCTTTTTTTGACTGTCCTCTGTCTGTATACCATTTAATGAGTGAAAACATTTTTTGACTTTTCACAAACATGAGCTGTCAGTTGTTTAAGTAAGAAGCTGTGAGCAAATAAAAAAGCTCTTTAGAGCAATCCAAGATGGAGGCAGAGTAGATGGAAGTTACACTTTCCTCTTCTCAGGACCAAATTGTAATTATGAGTAAAATATAGAAAAATCAATCTGAATAACCAACTGAAAACTGGCTGCAGAGAAATCTCAATACCAGGGATTTATAGAAGAAACAACATTGAGATGGGTAGGAAAGGCAAAGATGCAAAAATGGCTGGCTCTGTACCCACATGTGGCAACTGAGAATAAAGAGGAATAACTCAGCTGCAAAGGTCCTTCCAGATGAGTGTGGGGTGTCAACCTCATGATGGGTTTCCTAGACAAGGAGGAGCCCACAGAACATCTGGCTGTGAAAATCTTCAGGGATTATGTCTGCCAGGGAAAGATGCAAGTCTGATAAGGAACCCAAGCATCCTATTCAAGAGCCAACACAAAATCTCACTCACTGCCACTCACTCTGGGCTCCACCAGAGATAGGGAAGCTCAGACTGAAATAGAATTGTGAGAAGAGACTGGTTTCTGTGGCTCTGGGGAGAGAGCTGAAGAGAGAGCCATCAGGTTCCCTGTGCTGTCTCTCTCCCACACAGTAGATGCCATCTTTATTGGGTGGAGGAGTTCCCTCCATAGGGCATCAGCCTGGAGGAATGCAATAGCCCCCCTTTCCAAACTTCCTGTCATATCACCTTTTTGGGCTCACACGCTGTGGAGGTCTCTGTGTGGGCCTAGGGTATAGAGGTCTGCGTAGACTCAGGGGAGTCAGTGGCTGAGTTGTATGGCTCTGGGACTCCTGGCAGCTGCATCCTACTGACTCCTGGATTTCTTGCCCTGTTGACCTTTGGCTCTCTGAAGTTCAAACAGATTCTAGGACAGACTAAGTTGTATGGCTCTGGGGTAGGGACCATTCAATCCACCTTCCTCTGTGCCTGATAGGCATCTCCCACTCAGGGGAGATCCACTAGCTCCACCCTTCTGATTTCCAGGGCCATGCTTGGCTGAGCTCAGGCACTTTAGCAGATCTAGGCAGAACTTGGAACAGAGAGAGTTGTGTGGTTTTAGGATGAGGGCCATTTTTCCTTACATAACTAATCTATACAGGTGCAGAGCCCTCTTTTCACACAAACAAGTCATGGACTGTTTGTACCTGATGAATTCTGCTGACTTTCCCCTGACAATGGCCTGAGACATTACCCTACCACAAAGGTATGTGCATTCCTGGTGAATGGCATCTTGGCTTGTTGTATCCTGTGACATTTGCTGAGTGGCATCAGACCCAGCACTGGCACCAAGTTTGAATCTGCATTAATATGGTGACCACCTCTAGCACCTACCTGGTGACTCACTAATAACATACCTCATGCAACTCATGTATTGCCAGAATTTTTTACCCACTTAGCCTAATAGGCAGCCAGCAGGCAGAAACAGGCAGAGAAAAATCTCAGGGTACCTTGGGTGTTTTGCTGACCTTCCCTTGAGCTTGATGCTGGTGAAAGCCAGCCTTGGTGCACAGCTTGATATTTCCAATGCACACCATAGCACAGGTACCCACAACCTTTGGATCACTTCGTAGCCCCAGCAGTTTGCCCAAGGACAGTCACAGGTAGGGTCTGACATTGGCCTACACCAGAGTCTCTCCCAAGATGTTCCAGAAGTAACACACCCAGTGGCAAGCTTTAGACATCAGAGCAGGATCTAATAATCTCCACAAAATGCACATGCAAAGGGAGATCTTGGCACACACCAGTCTCCACTGAGGCAAATTCAGCTTCATGTGTTCAGCACATACACAGCAGCTCATATACTGTGGTTGAGGTCAATCTTCACAGGCAGCCAGCCTGAGGGTCAACCCCATGCATTTATGGGCCAAGAGAAATCTAGACTCAGTTACAACAGGAGGGCTCACATAATTAACACATGGGACATTCCTGAAGCATCCAACTTAGGACACAAGGAGACTGTGCCACTCTGTCACACAAAACACCTACAACATTAGGCCACCCTACCGAAGTTGGTAGACACAACAGGTCTGCCTAATGCAAAGAAACAAACTTAAAGAGGCATCCAAAATGGAGAGACAAAGAAACAAGCTCCAAATAAAATAACAGGAGAACTATCCAGAAAAAGAAAGAAATGAAATGGAGGCAAGCAATCTCCAGACATAGAGTTCAAAACAATAAACAATGTGCAAGGTACTTTGAGGATGAATGAATGAACTCAGTAAGAATTTAAACAGAGATAATAATAATGAAAAGATCACAGAAACCATTAAAAATACCCAGTCAGAAATTAAGAGTACAATATCTGAAATGAAGAATACACTAAAAGGAAAAAAACAGTAGGTTAGATGAACCAGGGGACTGAATCAGTGCTTTTGAAGACAAAGTACCAGAAAACACCCAATCAGAGCAACAGAAAAAAAAAAACAAAGAATTTAAATATTTAACAATAGTTTGAAAGATCTTTGGGACAACAAGAAGCAGAACAACATTCACATCATAGGGGTACCAGAAGGAAAAGAGAGGGAGAGCAAGAAACTGAGAACCTATTTGAACAAATAATGATTAAATACTTTTCTAACCACATGAAGGGAAAAGACACAGTCCAAAAGGAGAGAGTCCCAAACAAAATAACTCAAAAAAGGCCCACACCAGGACACATCATAATGAAAATGACAAAGTTTAAACACAAAGATAGAATTTTAAAAGCAACAAGAGAAAGTATGTTTCTTACAAGGGAAATCCCATAAGACTGTCAGCTAATTTCTCAACAGTAATATTTCAAGCCAGAGGGATTGGTACACAATTTTCAAGGTGATGAAAAGCATAGGCCTACAACCAAGACTACCTTACCCAGCAAGGCTTTCAAATTGCTGATAAGAATTTGAAAAAATAAAGAATTTATCAGACAAGAAAAAGCTAAAGGAGTTCATCACCACCAAGAAATGTTAAATAGTCTTCCTGAAGAAGAAGAAAAAAGAAAAAAAGAGGAACATAGTTGTAAAGAATAAGATGGCAATAGATATATACCTATCAGTAATAACTTTAAATGTAAGTGGATTAAAAGCTTTAATCAAAAGACATAGGGTAGCTGAATAGATAAGAAAACAAGATCCATATACATGATGACTACAAGAGACACACCTCAGAGTGAAAGACACACACAGACTAAAAGTAAAGAGATAGGAAAGCTATTTCATGCAAATTGGAAAAAAAAGCTGGAGTAGCAATATTTATATCGAACAAAATAGTCTTTAAAACAAGGCTGTAATAAGAGACAAAAAAGACACTATATAATGATAAGGAGAGTGATCCAACAAAAATATAACCCTTGTAAACATTTATGCACCTAGCACAGGGAGCACCTAAACATATAAAGCTAATCATGATGAACATAAAGGGAGAGTTAGACAACAATGCAGGAGATTTTAATACATATTGACATCGATGGATAGGCCTTTCAGATAGAATAATAAACAAGGAATCAGTGGCCTTAAATGACACACTGTATCAGATGAATTGATTGATGTGTTCAGAGCATTTCATCACAGATCATTAGAATATACAGTTTTTTGAAGTGCACATAGAAAATTTTCTAGGACAGACCACATGTTAGAACACAACAACTCTCTGTAAATTTAAGAAGATTGAAATCATATCAAGCATCTTCTCTGACTACAATGGTATGAAACTAGAAACTAGTCACCAGAAAAAAACTAAAAAATACACAAATACATGGAGGCTAAATAACATGTTACTAAACAATGAATGGGGCAATGATGAGATTGAGAAAAAAATGAAGAGAGACCTCAAAACTAATGAAAGTGAGAAAACAACCCCAAAATCTATGGGACACAGTAAAAGTAGTTCTACATGGAAAAAATGCATAGTGTTACAAGCTAATCTCAATAAACAAGAAAACTCTTAAATAAACAAGTTAAGCTTACACTTAAAGACACTAGAAAAAGAACAATAAGCAAAGCCTAAAGTGAGTAGAAAATAGGAAATAAAAAAGATCAGAGCAGAAATAAATGAAATAGAGTTTAAAAAATATTACAAAAGATAAATTCAACCAATTGCTGTTGTTTTTTAAAAAAAGATAAACAAGATTAATGAACCTCTAGACAGATTCATCAAGAAAAAAAGAGAAGGGACCCAAATAAATAAAAACAGGGATGAAAGACAAGAAATGACTGACACAACAGAAATACAAAAGATTATAAAATACATTATAGAAACAATCTGGAAGAAATGGATAAATTCCTGGAAACATACAATCTTCAAAAACTGAATCAAGAAGAAACAGAAAACCTGGAGAGACTGATTACAACTAAGAAAATTGAAGCAGTAATTAAAAACAACAAACAAACTTCCAACCAGCCCTGGCAAGTGTGACTCAGTTGATAGGAGCATCATTCTATCAACTGAAGGGTTGTGAGTTCAATTCTTCCTTAGGGCTCATGCTTAGGTTGCAGGTTTGG